AATACATTATAGGAACACAGATTTTTCTTCATTAATTATTGTTATTATTAATTTCGTTGTTGTTTTAAATCTAATATTCTCTTAATCCTTATTTTCATTAATAAGATTTTTCATGTTTATTTTTTTCTATGTAAGTATTTTTTTTTAATAAATACTAATTAATTAATTATTAATACTAACGAGGAAAGAGACGGCGACAAGGCTAGCGTTAGTTGGTCAGTTTGCCATTATTGAACAGAATAAATAAAATATTTAATTAATTATAAATTTATTAAGAAAAAGAGAAAGTATTGAGTGGAGTAATATGTATTATGGATGATGCTGCTTCAGCATTCTGATTTTTTAAATTAATTAATTATTTTTTAAGATTATCCAATCAGCCGCCACGCAGCCATGGATAAGGTCATCCGACAATCTTATTGGTAGAACAACACATTTATCTGATTATTAAATTATAAAATTTATTTAGGAGATTTTATCTCATTTATAAAAATTAAAATTTTAATTTTAAACTTTAAAAACTGGGAAAATTATATATAAAAATAATAAATTAAAAACTATATTTAAAAAAATAGAAGAAAATAGAGGAAACGGCTAGATCCCGTCGAGATCGTTCTAGAGCATTCTTTCTTGAACCGTTGGGAAAACGGCGTAAGACAAACGGGCAACGGTCATCTCATCCATTACGCCGTCTTTTTGCGTTTTTTAAAAAATAAAAAAATAAAAGCCATTGACTAACTGACAACCGTCATATATGGGTCCCACCATCTGCTCACATCTTTTAATGCCACCTTCCTATTTATAATTACTTCTTTTATTATTATTTTTTTTTTCCATTTTTTAAAAAAATACAAAAAAAATTATTAGAAATATATAAAAATATATTTTCGCGATATCGTATTTATCCACAACGTCTATTATATTAACTACTATGTTCACGTGAGATTTAAATATCAAATATTTATAATAATCTTTAAAATATGGTAAGGTTGTGTTGCAAATCTTATTTTCGAGTTCATTAAGTTTTTGACAAAAAAAAAAAAAAAAAAGTTTCAATTCGTTAATTAAATGAAAATTTTGAATACCCCAGATGAAATATTTTTTGCTATCTGTTACAACAACGAATCATTAGTTTAACTGAATAACTAAATAAAATAGATAGATCTCTCTTTTCATCTTAGGTCGACAGATCTTCTCCATTGAAAGATCCCTTATATGGATAATATACATTCCAGTTCAACGAGCCTAATTCTAATTGTTTTGTTCCGAAGCAAACCACGGGGCGATTCATCCTATTTAGATATTCACGACCAAGAAACACTAGATTCCCTTTTAGGTAGACCCTGAAAGGAGAAGGAAAGCTGGAATGCCAACAAGCGTACATTATTGAATTCACCCGACCTGATAAAATACCCCATATTTGGAACGTCCAGTGTCAAAGTCACTGAATGGGTAAGTTGTCAATCCCTAAAACGGACTATGTAATGTACTTTATCTGCTGGGTTATGGGTGGGCATTTTACCCGAGGTTTCTATTGTATCAATTACCCTTGTTTAATTCGACTTGTAACAATTCAAACTCACCACTGATATTTTTCGCTTGAACGAGTTACATATTGTTGTCAGTTTCACAATTTTAAAATATGTGTTTGTTAGGGAGAGATTATTCACACCCTTCAAAGAAATGATTTGTTACTCGTGTCTAACCAATGTGGGATCTTACACGACTCAACCCAAACTCAACTTCGAATAGAGTTGGCTTTGATAGTCTAGGTTATTCAGTGTCATATGAATAACCCCAATTTGTAGGATCAAAATTAAATGATGAAATTTATATTTAAATATTCACGCCACATATTCTAGAACTTTACAAAAAAAATTAATAATTATTTACACGTAGTTTAACCAAAAATAAACTTTTTCTATAAAAAAAGAATTGTAAGATTTTATTTACAATAATAGAAACTTGCAATTTATTTATTAACTTTGTTTATATATATATATATATATAGAAATATTTATTTATTTTAAAAAATATATATTTGTATTAAATTATGACGTGGAAATTGTAAAGGAAAAAGGAAATATTAAAACTTAGATTTCCGTTCCCAATTCTCAAAAAAGAAAAATTCCAAAAGGTGGCCTTGTCATCATCCTTATCTCCTTCCTTTCCAGCTGTCATCTCTTTTCAAAATTAATTTAATTATTAAAAAAAAAAGTTGATTTTTGTTTTGAAATATTAAAATTAATTCCCTCATAATTTAATAAAATTGTACAAAATTAACCCTAAGGTTTTATTTATGATAATTTTATCCAATTATAGAAAATATTGAGAGAATTTTATGATATTTTGTATATGATAAGAACAATTAAGATAATTAAAAAATATAATTTTTAAAATAGTTTTAAAGGTGAAGAGTATAATAAATGTAATTTTAATTTTTTTCAAAACCAAGCTAAATTTTTAAAATCTAAAAGAGTGGATAAATAATTAAATTTTAATATTTTTAAATTTACTTAAATCTAAATGGCCTTTTAAAAAACAAGTGAAATTTTAACCCGATATAAAAAACAAACATATTTTTTAAAAAACACCGTTATCAAATCATAACTAAATGATTTGAACACACGCTATGTGATGTCCTACATTGGTGTAAAACAAAACGGGTATCAAATCATAACTAAATGATTTTACCCTAGGGTGGTTGGAAGGAGAACAAATTACCAAAACGCTCTGTGATGTCCCATGGTGGTTGGGGAGGAGACCCTTTAAGGGTGTGTAAACCTTCCCTAGCAGACGCGTTTTAAAGTCTTGAGGGGAAGCTCGGGAAAGCCTGGAGTGAAATCGTTCTTAATGTTGAATGTCTTTCGAATTTCTTCTGGGGTCTTTCCCTTGATCATGTCTGCCACTGTCTGGCATGTGAGGTCCAGCAGACTCTTGATGTCCAGAAAGTTAGCGGCCTGCTTGGTTGGTTGTACCCAACAACACATTCATTGTTATCCATCACCAAAAAAAGCATGTAATTTAAAACATCTTCTGATTGTTAAATAGAAATAGAAAATAGAATTGGAAAAATGTATGATCTTGATTCAAGTTTACCACGTTTAAATACATACAAACTATTAATTAATACCTAAAAATAGAAAAAAAATATATAACTAACTAAATCTTGTAAATAAATAAAATACACGATTAATCAAATTTATACTAACAACTCCCTAAATCTCTCAAATATATTCTAAATAATATATCTCCAAAATATTCCCTTAATACTCCCTTCAAGTTAGAGAGTGTATGTCGATCACACCCAACTTGTCCTTCAAAAGGTCAAATTGCTGTCTTCCCAGAGCTTTAGTTAAAACATCTGTCAATTGCATTTTGGTCCAAATATAACACGGTTTGATGATTCCAGCTTGTAACTTTTCTCGAATTATATGACAATCTATTTCAATGTGTTTCGTACGTTCGTGAAAAACTGGATTGACTGCTATATGTAATGCTGCTTGATTATCACAATATAATAATGCTGGTTCGGACACTGGAACATTCAAGTCTTGAAGAATGTATCTTAACCAAGTTAACTCTAAACAAGTATTTGCCATAGCTCGATACTTGGTTTCTGCTGATGATCTGGACACATTAGTCTGCTTTTCAGACTTCCAAGAAATAATTGAATTTCCAAGGAAAATGCAGAACTCAGAAATAGACCGTCTGGAAGTTCGACAACCACCCCAGTCAGAATCGCAATATGCTTGTAATCTTAAATTGTTTTCAGATGGCAGTAGGAGTCCTTGACCAGGAGTGCCTTTGATGTACCTCAGAACTCGAAGAGCTGCCTCCCAATGTGGTTTTCTTGGTTCATGCATAAATTGGCTAAGCATACGAACTGAATAAGCTATGTCAGGCCTAGTGACAGTCAACTATATTAATCTGCCAATCAACCGTCTGTATTTACTTGGATCGTTCAATTTCTCTCCTTCAGTTAAAGAAAGTTTCAGATTTTACTCCATAGGAAATTTGTCTGGACGTGCTCGTGTAAGGCCTGTGTCTTGAAGGATGTCTAGAGCATACTTCCTTTGAGACATAAAAATTCCTTTTCTAGACCGAGAAAATTCAATGCCTAAAAAATATTTCAAATTTCCTAAATCTTTGATAAGAAATTTCTGGAGTAAACTAGTCTTGAGATATTGCATTTCTTTGAGATCATTGCCTGTCAACAGAATATCATCAACATAGATTAGAACTGCAGTGAAAGAAGTACCTTTACTCTTGGTAAACAAAGAGTAGTCTGCTTTGGACTGAGTGTAGCCTGCATTTTGTATAGTTGTAGAAAATATGGAGAACCAATTGCGAGAAGCCTGTTTTAATCCATAAAGAGATTTATGGAGCCGACATACTGTATTCTCCCCCTGTCGGCAAAGACCTGGTGGTAAAGACATATAAACTTCCTCGTCTAGATTACCATGGAGAAAGGCATTTTGAACATCCAACTGATGGGTGAACCATTTTCGAGCAGCAGCAATAGTGAGTAAGCAACGAAGTGTAGTAAGTTTCGCTGTAGGGGAAATTGTTTCTGTGTAATCAATACCTTCAACTTGAGTGTATCCCTTTGCTACAAGTCGAGTTTTATGACGTTCAACAGAACCATCAGAGTTGTATTTAATTTTGTACACCCCGCGACAACCAATAGCTTTATGACCAGGTGGTAGAGGAACGAGAGACCATGTATGATTACGTTCCAAAGCTGCAATTTCATCATTCATAGCCTGCTGCCATAAAGGGTCGTCAATTGCCTCGTCATAGGTTTTAGGTTCTATCTGGGATGTAATAAGAGCTAGAAAAGCACGTTGAGTAGGAGAAAAACGAGAGAATGAAAGGTAATGATGAAGGGGATACCTGGTGCCAGTGCCGGGATTTGAGCTAGAGGTTAAATGATTGGCTCCAGAAGACATCTCATAATCCTTATGCCAAGCTGGAGGCTGTTTAGTGCGAGTAGAACGTCAGAGTGAAGTTGATGTATCAGGCGGGATAGGATTGGAATCAGTAGGGAAATCTAGAGAAGGTGGAGGAGACGACAAAGTAGTAGGTGAAGGGATAAGAGGTGAAGGAGGAATGGAAGGTGGAGGATGGATGCTTAAGTAGGATGGATCATGAAGTGAAACAACAGGAGTCGAAGGAGCTAATGTCGAAGTTTGTGAAGCTGATGAAAAAGGAAAATCATCTTCACAAAATTTAACATCACGGCTGATAAAGAATTTGTGAGATTGCATGTCATACAATTTGTAATCTTTATGACCACAAGGATATCCTACGAAAACACAAGGAATTGCCCGAGGTTCAAATTTTTGCTTAGGATGTACTATAGTTGCATAACATTTACAACCAAAAACTTTAAGATGATGAAATGTAGGTGATCGTTTGTAGAGTGCTTCAAAGGGTGTCTTGTTAGATAACACTGGTGATGACGTTCTATTTATAAGATAAACAGCCGTTAAAGCGCACTCTCCCCAAAAATTACGTGGAACCTGTGACTGAAAAAGAAGAGATCTAGCTACATTTAGGATATGGCGATGCTTACGTTCTACGACTTCATTTTGTTGTGGAGTATAGACACAAGTGCGCTGAAATTCAATACCACAAGAAGTAAAGAATGGCTGCAAAGATAGGAACTCAGTCCCATTGTCTGATCGAACTATCTTGATAGTAGTATGAAATTGAGTTTGAACAAATTTAACAAAGTTCATTAACAAATGATGTACTTCTGACTTATGTTGCATTAGAAAAACCCAAGTACATCGAGTAAAATCATCAACAATAGTGAGAAAAAAACGCAAACCAGAATGGGTAGGAATTTTATGTGGTCCCCAAACATCATAATGTATCAGATCAAAGGCAGAATGGGTTGTTATTGAATTCTTGGGAAAGACAACCTAGTTTGTTTTGCTAACGGGCAGATACTACAATTATGAGAATAACTCGCATTATTAAGATACAATCGATAAGCTAGAAATTTAAAACGAGAAAAAGAAGGATGACTTAGACGTAAATGCCACAAATCAGATGACTGAGATACTTGATGAGCTGAAGATTTGATTGGAGATGAAGAAATATGATAGAGACCTCCATATTATTTACCCGAGCCAATCATCTTCCCCGTAGCTAAGTCCTGCATAACACAAGAATCAGGATAGAAGGTGACATAACATTTCAAGTTATTGGTAAGTTTGCTGATCGACATTAGGTTTAAATTGAATGAAGGCACACATAAAACGTTGTTTAACTTAAGGTTAGGGCTAAGGAAAATATTGTCAGTATGTGACACACGTGCTGTCTCTCCATTAGGCAAATTTATTGTAGACATGATGACAGCCTTTGGATCAGTCATAACAGAAGATTTTGATACTATATGATCCGTAGCTCCACTATCGAGAATCCATGAATTAGAACTCGCAGAGTTAACAGATAATGTAGATATGGGAAACAAACCTGCAACATTAATGTGATTGCCAGAATTACCAGAAGGGTTTTGATTGATTGCAGATAAGGCTTGTGCTATCTGTCGTAATTGCTCAGAAGAAAAATTTGGAATGGAATTAGGTGACTGTTCTTTTGTATTCAACTGTGAAACATCGGCCATATTTGCAGATGATCGGTATCCACGATGATTGTGTTGATTGACTTGTCTTGTCCTTGTAGAATTATTTTTCTGTCGACACCGATCTTCTGTATGTCCCCTTCTATCACAAAACTTACAATGAAACTTAAGAATTCGACACTCATTGATTGTATGACCACTTTTATTGCAGTGTTCACACGATTTGTCCTTGGCGAATTTTGAATATGTTGTTTTCTTCTGCACTGCTGATGCAATCGAGGAATTCTCAGTAGGTTCAGAAATTACCTGTCGCTGCATCTCTTCTTGTACAAGTAATGAATAAGCTTGCCTCACATTAGGTAATGGAGACATCATCAATATGTTAGATCTCACCGTTTTATAAGACTCATTGAGCCCCATGAGCAATTGCATCAACTTGTCTTCTTCACGTTGATCAATATGTATTTGACGTTGATTACACGTAAATGGTGTGCGGTACGCTTCCAGTTCATCCCAGAGTGCTTTGAGCTTTGTGAAATATGTTGACAGTGCCATGGTTCCTTGTGACATCGTTGCTATCGAGTTTTGTATTTGAAAAATTGCTGGAGCATTCTTTTGTGAGAATTGATCGCGAAGATCAACCCACACTTGATGAGCTGTCTTGGCGTGAATAATGCTTTTAGCGATATCTGCTTCAACAGAATGAGTTAACCAAGATATTATCATACTGTTGCACTGATTCCAGAGTTCGAATTCGGTCGAATTTGCATCTTGGGGCGGTTCCTCAATTGTGCCATCAATGAAGCCAATTTTCTTCTTGGCAATAAGAGCATGCATAACTGATTTACTCCAGGATTGGTAATTTGCTCCATTTAATTTGATTGGAACAAGTGAATATCCTGGCTGATCAGAGTGATGCATATAGTAAGGATGTGTTAAATCAACATTCGAAATTTTAAAGCTGGATTTGGCTGATTCCGCCATAAAGAAAATTTTGATATTTAAGAACACCACGATCGATGCTCTGATACCATGTTAAGAAATAGAAATAGAAAATAGAATTGAAAAAATGTATGATCTTAATTGAGGTTTACCACGTTTATAGATACAAACTATTAACTAATACCTAAAAATAGAAAAAAAAATATATAACTAACTAAATCTTCTAAATAAATAAAATACACGATTAATCAAATTTATACTAACAACTCCCTAAATATCTCAGATATATTCTAACTAATATATCACCAAAATATCCTCTTAATATAACCACGTGAGCTAAAGAAAAGGACAGAAACAGAGGAATAACAGAAAGAACAGAGAACTCACTAAGATGAGATCAAAGAGGATATTCTGATTAACCTCGACGAATTCAGCGTCCCAGGCTTTGAGAGTATCATCGAGGGCTTTAGAATCCTTAGCATCGGCCTCGACATGCTTCTTGCAGAACTCAATCACCTTAGTGAGAATGGAACTGGTGACATTGGGCACAGGGATGACCGTATCGGCGCAATCGTCCTCGATCATGTGCTTGATGGTCGGAGACTCGAGAGCCACCGCTTCATCGATGTGGAAGGTTTCGCCGTCGAAACTCCTGAGAACGATCTTGGATGAAGACATTGTTGAGGGATTTGAGAAATCCTACCTGTTGGTGAATTAATAAGAGCGTAGTTATTTATATATACACTATTTATTCTGATACAAATTTATTATTCATAAATTTTTAGATTAAAAATATTTGTATATATTAGATTTTATTTTTAAGAGATACTCTTAAATTTTCTAAATTTTTAAATCATAATACATCTATATATTCTTTAATTATAAAATTTCTTTTAACTTTTTTTTTTATTTTAATAAATTAAAAAATAGTTTAAAAAGAAATATTAAAAGATTTAGAGAGAATTTTTTGGTAGATAGTTTTTTTTATTAATATTATTGACTCCAACAAAAATGGAAATGTTTACTAATGCTCTCAATTTTACTTTTAAATATTATATATATATTTTTAACATGTCATCAACTCCTTTCTTAAATTTTTTTTTTTCTTTTAAAAAATGGGTTAAATATGGAATATTTTGACATACTAGTTCATCTCGATAAGACGACCGAACCAATTCATGTGACAAAAAAAAAATACTGGGTCCGCAATGGATAGATTTGGAGATAACATTAAAAAAAAATCTCATGGAAAATGTCACAGAGAAAAAAAGTAAAATTAGATTAATCAAGTAATTATTTTCACCCAAAATTAACGGTATATTTTTTCAGATTTATGGAAAGAAAGTTTGACAATATTATTGAATTTTTTGAATTTTTAGGGGTATTTTTTAGAAAAATACTTGGTATTTTTATTTATTTAGCCTAAATTTTAATTATGTTTTTTTGACGGTGAAAATAATAATTGATATCTAATATACCTACCATAATTATGAAATATTGTTTCAAAAAAGAATTTTGGAGAGCTTTTTCTAATTAAAATGTTGATCTATTTAACAAAAATAAAAACTTCTAATTTAACTAAAAGTTATTAAGTACAACCGGGTACTTTTGTTTTTTAACTTATTTTCTTGTGTTTATTAATAGTTTCCACCCATATTACATTCCTAACTCAATCGTAAGAACTTTAACATTAAACATGTTTAATTTTGATTAACTTAAACTCAATTGATATGAATATTGATACGGTAGAAACTAGTGATGAACGGTTCATCGAAATCGAAAAAGATAGATGCAGATTATAATCAATTGTCCAAGAGTTCTACATTCATCATCAATATCATTCACAAATACAATCTTTCATTTACCTCCAATATATAATGCTTTCAATTTGTGCGAAAGATCTTGATGTTCACACGCATGCGTTCTTCACAACTTTGAAACAGGCAATCCTGCAAAGATCTCAAATTATGAAAGTAAGATAATTGAACTATAATAAGCTCCCGTTTTCAGTCAAGGTAGGTTTTTACTACCCAAGGCTTTCGCGTTCACAATGCTCGGAGATGCAGCTGGAGGCGGAACGTTCTCGTTGAGGAAAGGTTCTACTCGGTTTGGATCGGACCAAACGGGATAATCTTTAATCTTTCCCTATAGTTAGAGGTTAGAGGAGGCAGTGCACTTAGCTTAACATGACAGCCAAATCATAAGAACAAATTTATAGGAAATCAAGTATATTTATGAGGTGAGTATAAATTTATAGGTTGCACACCAGGACATTAAGAGCAGCCAGTGTCGCCATTCCTTCACGAGTCCACTACATGATAATAATGAAAAAGGGTTAATACTTCTGCAACGATATCCTTATTTTACTGTCAACTATGCAAGATTTTTGTTTACCTTGGAAGCGGAAGCAATGTGAGGAACAATGATGGCATTTTTCATATCAGCTAGCCCAGGTTTCATGTATGGTTCATCCTAGGTGATGATCATATTGTCGCAAATCAACTTTAAGATGAGATAGTGACGAATTATGAACAGACATACCTCAAAGACATCAAGGCCAACTCGAAACATCGGATTCTCTCTTAAATGCTCGACAAGGGCAGCTTCATCGATCACAGGTCCTCGACTGCAGTTAATGAGGATTGCATCCTGCAATTATAACATGGTTTGAAGAAACATACGTTTAAATATAACCAATCAGTGAATCTATGTAATGGGGTCAGGAGATTGAAACCATAATTGAAGAGAGAAAAGAGCTTTAGCAAGCTTCACCTTCTTCATGGCTTTAAGACTTTCTTTGTTCACCAGATGGAAGGTGGTTTTATCCAGTACTGGATGAAGACTTATCTACAAATCCAAAGGAACAAAGAACAGCTAATTTATGTAACATAAGGGGAGACAAGCTCTTCAGGAGCATGTTAATTAATCATATCAAAGTCATACCACATCAGCCTCTCGAAGCACCTCTTCCATGGATGATGCTCTTCTCCATGTCACGGGAGCCTCGCCATTGGCTTTCAGGAACTCACCATAGGCTGCAATTAAACAAGCGTTTCAGCTAAAGGAACTCAAACTCATTGCTTTCAAGAATTGTTGATCAAGACATGCCTGTAACAAACTTTTCAAGTCTGGTTGACTGGTAAAGATCAAAGTATATCAGGTTCATCTTAAACCCTTCTACCTGCAAGGCAAAATAGGCACTCTACCATTGAATCCTAATTTAATCATTGATGAAAACATTCGCTTGAAATCCTAATGATCTTCAAGAAAGATAACTACGTTTCTAGAACCCAATTTAGAAATCATTAAGCTCATAATCAATTATGTTAGGAAACTACCATCATTCTTGCATAAGCAGATCCAATACGACCAGCTCCAATCACACCAACAGTCTGTCCTTTCAGCAAGTTTCCAACAAACCTATTGAAAGAAATTATTTCAAATTTGTTGAGCCATGTTGGTTGCTTATTTCTAGAGAATAATTCAAATCATGGCAGATGGTCATACAAATTGGGAAGCCATCCATCATAGCGGCCTGCCCTCATGAACTCATCAGCTTCAACTATCCTTCTTGCAGCTGCAAGAGAAAGTGAAGCTGCCAACTCTGCTGTGGTTTCTGTAAGTACTCCCTAAACAAGAAAGAAAAGAATGATCTAAATCCCAGTCTGTAGCACAGAATATGCAGAACCAAATATGTAATATGCAACAGAGCATTAAAATTAAGATGTACCAAATACAAATTCACGTTGTAGCATTTAACAGAGAAATAAACTTACAGGAGTGTTTCCTACAGCAATACCATACTTATTAGCAGCATTAACATCTACATTATTGTAACCAACAGCCATATTACTAAAAGCTTTGCCTCCCGCTCTGCTTAGTGCAGAAAACAGCACCTCTCCCCAATCTTCAGTCAACTGAAACATCCAAGAAAACGAATCTCAGAATCACGAATACGAAAACTCATTTGCAGCTGTATAGCAACCAAACATTTGCGACGTCAATCGATCATGAATCACACGTGAACGAGCCATCGTGATCACTCAAATCACTACAATTCAGTTTTTAGAATCTATTTTGAATTAGCTTTTATATAGAGATTAACTTTCCTCTACGACTGGAAAAAACTTATTCATTCGATTCGATTCAAACTATCTAAAATGCACAAAAATTTTTGGATCAACCAATACCAGTTCGATTAAGTTCAATACCTGTCCAATAACGCCGTCGCACCTATTGCCGATGAGAGAAACGATATCCTCTACTGAGAGTATCGTCTTCTTCTCGGTACAAATCTACAACACCAAATGAATACAAAATTTCACTCCAAATCAACATTTCCGCGAAACAGGCGAAAACAAAGTGAGAAACATCAAAAATAACATACCTCGACTCGGCAATCTTGCTCGATCAAGAGATTGATCCATCGAGTTCCAGGCATAGCCTTAGTGCTAACAACTCTATACTTTCCATTCGGATTCCACACTTCAATCTGAACCGGCCTCGCCATTGGAGCCAAACCTTCAAAGCTCGAAGCTCGAAGCTCCACCACTAAAAAGACTGAAGTGAGCCACATGCTGAACGCTTTCAGTTTGTTCTTAAAAATTTCCACTGTGATCAAGTGCGCCGCGAGTACTCGAACAGAGTTTCAATCGTCCAATCGGATATGGAGAAAATGGTGACTGTTGACTTTTTGGTTTGTTTGACTGTTGACTTTTGAAATGACGGATAGGATGTGTTATAGTGGATTATGGAAGGAGGGATTTGTGTCTCTGCTTCGCTTCAGGATGGACGTTGCTGAACCTCTCATTTTAGTGAAAATAGATAACAACGATATCGCGCTTTTAAATACGCGCCACGTTAGTACCTGCTATCCTCATTCATTTAAATGACGAAAATACCCCTGTATGTATAAATATATAATACAAATATATTTATAAATATTTAAATGACGAAAACACCCTTGGATGGTATATTGATTACGCATCGTTGATAGCATCTACTCGTGTACTAGCTCGTCTAAGAGTAGTGTCTCGAAACTGTTAGTGAGTATAATTCTTATTACACGAGTATAATTGACTACGCTCGTGACTAACTAACTGCCTATCGTATCGAATCATAATTTATTATCACTCGTGACTTGTATTATGGTCTCTTAACTAAGCTCTATCATAGCACTGTTTTTTTAGCACGTTGTAACAGTCCAAGCCTACCGTTGATGGATATTGTCCGTTTTGGCTCGCTACTTATAGCCATCAACCTCAGAGTTTTAAAACGTGTCTGCTAGGAGAAGATGTTTATATCCGTTTTGGCTCGCTACTTATCGTCATCAGCCTCAGAGTTTTAAAACGTGTCTGCTTGGAGAAGAGATTTTTACACCCTTATAAGAAATGTTTCGTTCCCCTCTTCAACAGATATGGAACCTAACAATCTACCCCTAAGGAGCCAGCATCCTTTTTGGAACACTGCCCAGAACCTGGCTCTGATACCATTTATAACAGCCCAAGCCCACAACTAGCAAATATTGTCCACTTTAGCCCGTCACATATCATCGTTAGCTTCACGGATTTAAAATTCGTATGCTTGAGAGAGATTTTCACACTCTTATAAGAAATGTTTCGTTTCGCTCTCCAACCGATATAGGACCTAACACACATAGAGAAGAGTATAAATAGTCA